ACACGAATACCAATGGAGTCCATTATCCCTAGATATCTCAACTAGTTGTTTTTCTTTCTTTTTTTTTTCTCTACCATAAAATCTCTTTAATTGCATCCTTTACTCCACTTCACTTCCATAGTTCCTCAGACATGATATGTTGCTGCATGCCCAAGCCCTCCACATGCCCACTTGCAGTTGACTTGATGCATTGCTTAGCTATGTGGTTATAATTACCCAGTTAAATCAACTTTTTTGCAGAGCCCTCAACTCTGAAGATTCTTGCAAAATGCCCCTCGCCACCAACACCATTACTATTTGATCCAGTGATACCACTACTAGGCCTATAATTTAAAGAGATCAAAGGGAAAAGAAAAGCAATAATTATAGAAGCCTTTTTTTTTGGTAGCAAAGAACTAGAAACTAAGAATGTGCCCATCAATTGGGAATGGCTGAATTACTGGATATGAATGCAACAGAACACTATGGTACCATAAGAAATCATGAAAGGGATGCTTTCAGAGAGAATCTTAGGAGTACCTGTGTGAATTAATTGTAGAGTGAAATAAGTAGAACTAGATTAATTCATATAATATTGTATAACTATAACTTTATAAAAAAATCTGACTTTGAAGGACTTAAGAACTCTGACCAATTCAATGACCAACCCTGATTCCAGAGATTAACGATAAAGCATGTGTCCCAGCCAGCCATGTCCCCATTCTTCTTCAGGCCTCACTCTTGACTCTCCAGACATGCTTCACCAGGCCATCAGGCAGATACCTCACCAGGGCCACCCTGTCCATTTGGAGCTCCCTTTTATGTGTTGTCTTTCCCCATTAGAACATAAGCTCCTTGAAGGCAGGTAGTCTCTTTCTTTCTGTCTTTTTTATTTTTGTGTTTACTCTCAGTGCTTAGCACAGTATATGGCACATAGTGAATGCTTAGTTAATATCTAATGACTTGATGACTCTAAAGTTGCTTCCAAATCTATGCCAGTGATTCTATAAAAGCACTTTGATGGAAGAGTTGTTTGTTTGTTTTTTAATTCAAATTCAAGGAACTCTTCCTGCTTCATCCTTGAGACTTTTTCTGATGTTTTTTATGGATTCAAGGACCTGGAAAAGGTCCATGTCTGCCACCCTCCAAGACTAAATATACCTCTTAGCACCTTTGACAATCTCAGGGGAGGATAAACCTAATAGGCACTGCCTACCCTTTCATTGTTCTCTAAACTTACAAATAATGCTAGTAATTCTGAGAGATCTCTATGGTCAGCTGTATGTGATCTAGATGCAGGATGTCCACTTTTCAGATTAGAACATGGCACATCTTTAACCTCTGAGGGCCTTCTGCTTATTTCCTGCCATGCTTCTGGTTCAACTATCATTTAGTACATACAGGAAATGCAAACCTATCATTAGTCTCTAAGCAAAAGTAATATGTACTTTACTACAAGCTAACTGTGTGACCTTCAAAATACTTCCCCAAAGTTTTTTTGTTGCTATTCAGTCATGTCTGACTCTTTGTGACCCAATTTGGGATTTTCTTGGCAAAGGTGCTGGAGTGGTTTGTCATTTCCTTTTCTGGCTCATTTTATAGATGAGGAAACTGAGGCAAACAGGGTACACAAGTGTCTGAGGCCAGGTTTAAACAGGAAGATGAGTCTTCTTGACGCCAGACCCAGTACTCTATCTACTGTACCACCTAGCTGCCCCCTTAGTTCTTAGCTTTCTAAAATAAGGAAGTTAGATTAGATGATCTCTATATTCCCTTGTAAGCATAAAAGTTCTACAGTTCCCTGCCACCATATGAACATGCTTGGATAAACTTACCAGTAGTATACAAAATTAACATGTTACCGTTATTGCTAGTGTTAATATTCAATCAACCCACAAGCATTTATTGAGCTTTTGCTTATTGAATTTGAACCCGGGTCCTCTGACTCCACAATGGGGCAGCTAAAGGATACAGAAGAAATGCCTGAACAACAATAATGTCTGACTTTTGACCACTATTACCATAATGCCTCTCTAGTCTAATCCTCTCGCATTAGACTAATATGTTAATTTACTTTTTCTTTTTTTCTAAATTATCACACACACACACACACACATACTTTCCCCCCAAAATTCCAATAATACAACATAGCGGAGTCTCTGCAAAGAGTCTTTTGATCTGTCCCCTGTGATGTCTTATGGTCTACTTATCTTCTTTTCTGCCTCTTTCACCAAAGAATCAAGAAGACTTACCAATTATAGTTAAGTAGAAACCAGCTACTAAGTCAGCTTCCCAGGAGAGTTTGGATGCAAAAGGGTCTCTATCCCGAAGATAGTGTGGAATGTAGTCATCTTGAGGTGGGACACTGTGGTTTAATGCCATGCTGTTCTTGTACTAACAGTAGCTATCTGAAAAGCAAATCAAGACTGTTCTCAGCAGATTCGCATACACCAACCTGAAATGTCAAATACTCCAATGTTTCCTAAGGACTTGGAAATATTCATCATAAGAAAAAAAGTTCCAGACATTTTAGTTGGTTAAGAAACTAATAGAGAACTCAGAGGGGACCATGAGACCTGGTAATTTTTCCAAAGTAGACCATCAGATTAGTAAGTGACCATTTCATAATTCCAACCTATGTAGCAACAATAATAACTATAAAAATAGGAGGCATGATGTAGTAGAAAGAATAATTATGGGCAGCTAGGTGGCGCAGTGAATAGAGCACCAGCCCTGAAGTCAGGAGGACCTGAGTTCAAATTCGGCCTCAGACCAAACACTTGACACTTACTAGCTGTGTGACCCTGGGCAAGTCACTTAACCCCAACTGCCTAAAAACTAAAAAAAAAAAAGAATAATTACCTAGGAATCAAGATACATGTCATAGGATCATAGGGGTGGAAGGAAACCTCAAAGGAAATCTAGTTCAAACACCTCATTTAACAGGAAGAAGAAGAAGGAGGAGGAGGAGAGAAGGAAGGAAGGAAGGAAGGAAGGAAGGAAGGAAGGAAGGAAGGAAGGAAGGAAGGAAGGAAGGAAGGAAGGAAGGAAGGAAGGAAGGAAAAAGTTACATGGCTTGCCCAATGTCACAAAAACAGGAAATCAAAGAGACAAGATTTGCACCCAGATTCTGACTCCAAATCCAGCATTCTTTCCAATGAATCACATATCACCACATGTTCTACTTTGATTTCCTTTTTTTCTAGGCAAAATCATTCTTCCTTTTATATACTCATCCCTGTTTATAAGTACCTCACTGAGATAATGGGATGATAACTGGAAAATACAAGTGTTCTGAGCATCTTTTGGGGAATTTTTTTTCTACAGATCTTAACTTTATTACTGTACTTAGGATTCTAAAGCCCCTGTTTGTTTGATGGGCTATGGTGCCCTTGACCTAGGTGGTAGCAATGGTTAAAGTAGAGATGCTAAGGATGCTCCATTACCATCAATTTGCCACCTTATTCCAAAACCATCGGATCCTTCCATCCAACTTGCAGCTATCCCTAAATTAGAGCATCAGATCCTTGTGAGCAATGATTATCTTTTCTATTTGTGTGCTCAGTGCATAGCACAGTGCTTGGTACATAATAAACTATTAATAAATGCTTTCTTTTTCATTCATTGGAAATTATACTTTTGCTTAGGCTTCTCCTGAAAATGCCACACTACTAGGTAGTGATACTCTTTTCTAGAGGACAAAAAAGGACCCTAGATATGATTTCTTTCCCAAATCTCTCTGTGAAAATCCATGTAAATGCAAGTTGTTGTTTTTTTTATTATTATTATTGTTATTTCTATTTGAAGTGGTGATAATGGCAGTAAGATTAAAAGACATAAAATACAATGGATCAGTCAATAAAGGTTGAATTTTTCTTACCCTTCAAAAAATAGAAGAAAAAAAATCCTAAGTTCTTTGGTTACATTGGGAAATGATTTAATTTCAGCTCATGAGCAAAATAACCCTTTTATTCAGCAACTCAAATGCAATCAATTCTCAGCTTCCCAGTCTGCAAATTATGCAGGGCCCCAGCTTCATAGAAACTGCCTCAGATAGCCCACTTCAGGCCACTTCTCCACCAGACGGTAGTCAGAGAAAAAAAGAGACAGTGAAATCTAAACTAATCTTTTCTTTTTTTGTTTACAAGTCTTAGAAAAGAGGGATAGGTAGGGATGAAGATAAAGGTAGTGATTAGAAGAGGAGAGTGAGAAAGGGAGCTTGAAAGAAATGGGGCATGTGGGGGGCAGAGCCAAGATGGTGGCATGAAAGCAGTGACTTGCTTGAGCTCTCCCCCAAACCCCTCCAAATACTCATAAAAAATGGCTCTAAACAAATTCTGAAGCAGCAGAACCCACAAAAAGACAGAGTGAAACAAATTTCCAGCCCAAGACAACCTGGATGGTTGATCAGAAAGGTGTATTGCACCGGGCTGGGAGCACAACGCAGCGCGGCGTGGGCGCGCAGACTGCAGCAACCTGGAGCAGGCCTCAGAGGACTGAAAGAGGGCAGCTGTGGAGGTTTCCAGGCACCTCAATCCACGAATGCCAAAGACAACTTAGAAGGTCAGTGGGAAAAGTCTGTTTCTGTCAGTGGTCAGAGACAAAGGCGGGGTCTCAGCTCCATTCCCCAGGAGCCTGGCCCTGGGAGGGGGGGGCAGCTGCTTCCCGAGGTTCCGGCCCACAGACTGAGGGGGAATCCAGTGGCTGATCAGGGAGGGACTGCAGGGATCTTTTTGCCAGTGCTGAGGCAGGAATCTCTTGCTTTGCCCATGTTTGGATCTGGGCCACAGTTCTGGGTGGCGGTGCTGGGGTGAGGGGGAGCGCTGGCATGGTGGAGCTTGTAGTGGCTGTGGAGAGGAACCCTCCTCACAGTTACAGGACAGAAAGGAATACTTGTGGTCACAGGCCAGGAAAGGAGTAAACACCTCGCCCCTTATCATACCACCTTGGAAGAACTGAAAATTTACAGGTCCCTACAAGTATCTCTGAAAACAGCTACAAACCCCTGAAGCTTGGGACAGTACATCTCCACATTGGAAGCAGACTCTTACCTTAACAAAGAGTTTAAAACTCAAGTAATTGGCTGGGATCATGAGCAAGCAGCGCAAAAAGAGTCAGACTATATTATCTTACTTTGGTGAAAAAGAAGATCAAAATATACAACCAGAAGAAGACAACAAAGTCAAAGCTCCTACATCCAAAGCCTCCAAGAAAAATATGAATCAGTCCCAGGCCTTGGAAGAGCTCAAAAGGGATTTTGAGAAGCAAGTAAGGGAAGTAGAGGAAAAACTGGGAAGAGAAATGAGAGTGATGCAAGAAAATCATGAAAAACAAGTCAACAGCTTGCTAAAGGAGACCCAAAAAAATACTGAAGAAAATAACACCTTAAAAAAGCCTAACCCAAATGGCAAAAGAGGTCCAAAAAGCCAATGAGGAGAAAAATGCCCTAAAAAGAAAAATTGGCCAAATGGAAAAGGAAGTCCAAAAGATTACTGAAGAAAATACTTCCTTAAAAATTAGAATAGAGCAATTGGAAGACAGTGACTTTATGAGAAATCAAGACACTGTAAAACAAATCCAAAAGAATGAAAAATTAGAAAACAATGTGAAATATCTCATTGGAAAAACAACTGACCTGGAAAATAGATCCAGGAGAGAGAATTTAAAAATTATTGGACTATCTGAAAGCCATGATCAAAAAAAGAGCCTAGACATCATCTTTCAAGAAATTATCAAGGAAAACTGCCCTGATATAGTAGAACCAGAGGGCAAAATAGAAATTGAAAGAATCCACAGATCTCCTCCTGAAAGAGATCCCCAAAGGAAAACTCCTAGGAATATTGTAGCCAAATTCCAGAGTTCCCAGGTCAAGGAGAAAATATTACAAGCTGCCAGAAGGAAACAATTCAAGTACTGTGGAAACACAATCAGGATAACACAAGATTTAGCAGCTTCTACATTAAAGGACCGCAGGGCATGGAATATAATATTCCGGAGGGCAAAGGAGATAGGATTACAACCAAGAATCACCTACCCAGCAAAACTGAGTATAATCCTTCAGGGGAAAAAATGGTCATTCAGTGAAATAGAGGACTTTCAAGCATTCCTGATGAAAAGACCAGAGCTAAAGAAAATTTGACTTTCAAATACAGGACTCCAGTGGAACATGAAGAGGTAAACAGGAAAGAGAAATCATAAGAGACTTATTAAGATTGAACTGTTTACATTCCTGCATGGAAAGATGATATTTGTAACTCATGAGAACTTTGTCAGTATTAGGGTAGTTGAGGAAAAAAATTTATGTATGTATATGTAGATAGATAGATAGAGGGCACAGGGTGAGTTGAAGATTAAGGGGTCATATCTGGAGAATAAAATTAAGGGATGAGAGAGGATTATACTCGAGAAGAAGAAAGGGAGAGGTAGAATGGGGTAAATTATCTCACAAAAAAAAAAAAGAGAAAAGTCTCTTACAGTGGAGGGGAAAAGGGGAAGGTGAGAGGGAATGAGGGAATCTTATTCTCATAGGATTTGGCTTAAGGAGAGAATAACATACACATTCAATTGGGTATGGAAATCTGTCTTACCCTACAGGAAAATAGGGGGAGAAGGGGACAAGAGAGCAGGGGGTGATAGAGAGGAGGGCAGATTGGGAAAGAGGGTAATCAGGAAGCAAATACTTCTGAGGAGGGACAGGGTCAAAAGAAAGAATAGAATAAATGGGAGGGCAGGATAGGATTAAGGGAAATAGAGTTAGTTTTTCACAACATGTCTACTAGGAAGTGTTTTGCATAACTGCACATGTACAACCTATATTGAGTTGCTTGCCTTTTCAATGAGTGGGTGGGGAGGGAGGAAGGAGAAAATTTGAACTAAAGTTTTAAAAACACATGTTTTAAAAAAAATGTTTTCACATGCAACTGGGAAATAAGAAATACAGGAAATGGGGTACAGAAGTCTATCCTGCTCTACAGGAAAATAGAAGGGGAAGGGGATAAGAGAAGGGGGAGAGATAGAAGAGAAGGCAGACCAGGGGAAGGGTATTCAGAATGCATGCCATCTTGGGGTGGGGGGAGGGGTGAGAAATTTGGAACTCAAAAACTTGTGGAAGTGAATATTGAAAACTAAAAATAAATAAATTCATATAAAAAATTTTTTTAAAAAAACAAAAAAATAAAATAAAATAACAAAAAGAAACGGGGTATGTGGGAGGGGTGTGTGTGTGTGTGTGTGTGTGTGTGTGTGTGTGTGTGTGACTTGCCCAGGTTTTTATCTCTGGTAAGGGTCTAAAATGGAATTTGAACCCAGTTGAGAGGAGAGGAGAGGGGAGGAGAAGAAAAGAGAAAGGAGAGAGGAGAGGAAAGGGGAGGGGAGGGAAAGAGGAGAGGGAAGGAGAATAGGAAAGGGG